CTTTTGAGCTATTTTATCTGAAAAACTATGGATTCAATTCTTCAAATATGAACAGATACAAAACCATTTGGCCCCGTGTACACTGCAGCCAAAACACAGCAGCAAAAAAGTAAAACCGGTACATTTGACATTTGCTTAAAGCTGGGGTACCTCACTTTCATGAATAATGCATGTTTATTTATAGAGCACATTTCACAGACCAATTTACATTTGTTGTTGTTGTTGTACCAGTAATTCCCATTCTCTCCACACGGCAAAGACTGACGCCACACACACACGAGAGCTCACTGCCTACATTTAGAGATATTGCACGGCGGTAGGGGAAACCGGAGCACCTGGAGGAAACTCCTGCAGACACAGGGAGAACATGCAAACTCTACTCAGAAATTCCCTGTCTTGAAGTGGAATCAAACCAAAGATCTTCGCCCAGAATTGTTTGATATGATTGGCTCTTTTGTCCGAATGGCCTCTATTGCACACAGGCCTCTATTGCACACAGGCCTCTATTGCACACAGATCTCTATTGCACACAGACCTATATTGCACACAGACCTTTATTGCACACAGGCCTCTATTGCACACAGACCTATATTGCCCCCAGATCTCTATTGCACACAGGCCTCTATTGCACACAGATCTCTATTGCACACAGACCTCTATTGCACACAGATCTCTATTGCACACAGGCCTCTATTGCACACAGGCCTCTATTGCACACAGGCCTCTATTGCACACAGATCTCTATTGCACACAGGCCTCTATTGCACACAGACCTCTATTGCACACAGGCCTCTATTGCACACAGGCCTCTATTGCACACAGACCTATATTGCCCCCAGATCTCTATTGCACACAGACCTCTATTGCACACAGACCTCTATTGCACACAGATCTCTATTGCACACAGGCCTCTATTGCACACAGGCCTCTATTGCACACAGACCTATATTGCACACAGACCTATATTGCACACAGACCTATATTGCCCCCAGATCTCTATTGCACACAGACCTCTATTGCACACAGACCTCTATTGCACACAGATCTCTATTGCACACAGGCCTCTATTGCACACAGGCCTCTATTGCACACAGATCTCTATTGCACACAGACCTCTATTGCACACAGGCCTCTATTGCACACAGACCTATATTGCACACAGATCTCTATTGCACACAGATCTCTATTGCACACAGACCTATATTGCACACAGACCTATATTGCACACAGACCTCTATTGCACACAGGCCTCTATTGCACACAGACCTCTATTGCACACAGACCTCTAAAGGATGTCTTCCCTTGTATTGCACTCATAAACATGCACTCCTTGTTACTGCTCAGCCGTGTTGGTAGCTCTGATTGTCCAGGAGCCATGACTTAAACTTCAAATCAAATTCAAATCGCCAAAAAACAAAAACAGCAGAAAAGTAAACTCACTCACAGACAGAGGTGGACTCTCAGGGGCCTCTCTGCTCTGGGTCCTGGATGGAGACTCCTGTCAGACCGATGAAGAACCCAGGATTCATCCAGAGACTGGGATCTGAACAGAGAAAGAGAAATAAGTTTTATATTTACAGGATTACACAGAATTATATTACAGATCACAGATTGCAGTCACAATACTAACATTTCAAGAACCAGAACCGAAATAATAACAAACATAGAGGAGCCATTGATTCATGGGGAGTGGGACAACCACTGTCCATACATTTTAATAAATCATGATAATAACACAACTTTATAAAATATATATTATAACTTAACCGTGCCATCTAAAAGTATGTCAAATGCCCAGTTTCTACTCAACTATCCATAGAAATTCCTTAGTAAATATGGCTTCCAACCAGTGGGGGCGGGTCCCAGCTCAAAAGTGGCCAAAATGACGTGCGCTGACATGCTGCAATACCACCCCGGGCCGATGGGGGTGGACCCAGAAGAAGAATTAGCCAATGCTAACATATAGCGTTGGCAGACCTCTCAAAAACGTCTTTACAGGATGGTCCAAAAGTTGGCTCTTGGCCCAAAGCTCCGTTCCACATGTGTGTCAATGCTGAGGGGGGTGGATTTTTTTGGTCCACTATAGTTTACTTGCTGTGAATTTTTTAAGTCTCTCGTTCAAATGAATGGAGCATGCGCAGATGCGTTTTTTCACAATTTTCTTGTGGGCGGGACCACTCGCGGCTATTTTGGATTGCTCCAGGAGAGCACATTTTTTGGCCCATTAGTTAGAACGGCGGAGATAGGCGTGACTCTGTCCGTTAATATATACAGTCTATGCTTCCAACAGGTACTGGTTAAACAAGACTAGAGGAAACACGACCAATTAAGGTAGAGTGGAATAGAGTGGAATAGAGTAGGGTAGGGTGGGGTAGAGTAGAGTAAAGTAGAGTACAGTCAGGCCAAGTAGGGCTGGTGGAAACGGGGCACAAACAGTGATGGGTATATGAGATCTCTATAAAGGCCATTCAGTAATAATAATAATAATAATAATGGATTTTATTTATAAAACACATCACATACAACCACATCACAAGGTGCTACGGCAAGTTATTCACTGTTTGTAAACTGTGGCCTGCTATCTTTAAGAATGAGACTTATAAGAGAAAATATATGGATAAACATATAGGATTACACACACATATAGATACATTACTGATGCTGAGCTAAAATACCTTCAAACTGCAGAACCGTTTCATATTCACAGCTTATTTTTCATGTAAAACTACTCTGTAAACATTCAAAATTTGCATCCACATGATTTATCACAACGATAACAAAGGAAAGCAGTAGAGGAGGCAAGAAAGAGGAGTGGACAGTGGACTAAAACATGAGATAGATGGAGAGATACAGGGGAGAATATTGGAAAAAGAGAGAGAAAGAGGGGGGAGAGAGGGGGGAGAGAGGGGGAGAGAGCTGGGATGAGATTAACGGAGTCACACACCACATTTGCACAAACACAGCCCACGAGGAAAAGACTAAGATTACAGATAAACAAATCAAATGAAAGGACACTTTGGCACTGATCTGATGGGCCACATTGAGCTGCTTCACTCCCAGCCACAACTCTGCTTTAGCCGCGTGTTCTGTCCTATTTACAAATAAATAACTAAATTATGTTAATTAAAATATATGTGTGTGTTGGAACTGTGTGGAGTACCTGTTTTGGGGTTGTCTCTTGTCTAAAAGAGCAAATACATGGCATGAATTCATAATGTAGGCTAACGATATGCTAATGTTATGCTAATAGCCGCCGATGCTAATAGCCCCCGATGCTAATAGCCGCCGATGCTAATAGCCGCTAATGCTAATAGCCGCCAATGCTAATGCCAATGCTAATAGCGAGCTAAATCTAATGGCAACAGCTCTTAAAGCACAGGAAAGGATATAGTGTGGTGGTTTACATAATTCACCCATGGAACTGTGGTTACTCTGGTGGGGTTCCGGGGGGAGAGGAAAAAGGGTTGCACAGTTTTTCCCTTGAAGAAAAATGTTTTTGGTTGTGTGAGGAGTTCTGTTACACTGGCTGTTTTATGGCATTAAAACGTGTACGTTTGTCACCGCTGTTTGACACACCGCCTCCGACTCCGCTCCTTACGCACCACATTGGTGACCCCGACGTCAGTCCCGCAGAAGTTTCTGGGACTGATCAAGATACAGAGCAAAGCAGTATGGCGCAGTCCGCCGCTCTCAAGCTGCCTGAGTTTTGGGAGACGTCCGCCGCAACGTGGTTTGCTCAGGCGGAGGCTCAGTTCGCCCTCCGTGGAATTACTGACGATGACACGCGCTATTACCATGTCGTCTCGGCGCTCGGGAGCTCCACGGCGACCAGGGCAGTGAGTTTCATTACTTCTCCTCCAGCCCACGGGAAGTATGCGGGGATTAAGGCATATCTGCTGAAGATTTTTGAACTGTCACGATCCGAACGGGCCCGACGCCTCCTTTCTATGCAGGGCCTGGGGGATAGCAGGCCCTCAGAACACATGGAGGTGATGTTAAACCTGCTGGGCAGTGAAGAGCCAAATTTCCTCTTTGTGGAACTGTTTCTGCGACACATGCCGCCTCACGTGCAGACGGCTCTCGCGAATACAGCCATTACGGAGCCACGTGCTCTGGCGGAGGAGGCGGACCGGTTCTTCCTGGCCACCCATCGTTTCGTCCCTGACGTGTTGGCCCCGACACGCAGCTACACCCCCCCTGCTGCGGCCGCTCTGCCTGTTAGGGGGCGCATGGTGACTGACGGCCCGGCCAGCCCTGGGTTGTGCTACTTCCATGCACGGTTTCGGGGCCAAAGCTAAGAGGTGCCGCTCCCCATGCAGTTTCAACGCGACGGGAAACGCCAAGGCCTGCGCTCAGTAGTGGCCGTGAGCGCAGGCGCGAAGGGCCGGCTGCTGTTTGTTGTGGACACCCTGTCCGGGCGCAGGTTCCTCTGTGACACTGGCGCCCAGAGGAGCGTTCTGCCGGCTACAGTGGACGATGCTGCTGGGGGGTTGCATGGCCCGCCCTTAACGTCCGCCAATGACACCCCTATCCGGACATATGGCACAAAGTCTGTGGACGTATGTTTCGGGGGCCAGCGGTTTACATGGGACTTTGTCACGGCCGATGTCTCGTTTCCCCTCCTCGGGGCAGATTTTCTGTGCGCCCAGGGGTTACTCGTGGATGTCAAAAATGGCCGCCTGGTGGACGCTTTGACCTTCTCCTCATTCGCGTGTGTCCGTGATGAGGGGACATACAATGGTCTCTCCAGCTCGCTCGCTGAAGGTGACAAGTACCTGCGGCTCCTCGTGGAGTTCCCTGACCTGACGCGGCCCACTTTCTCGGCTGCTACGGCTAAACACGGAGTCGAACACCACATCGAAACCAGAGGCCCTCCTATCCACGCCAGGGCCCGGCGGCTCAATCCGGAGAGGTTGACGACTGCCAAGGCTGAATTCGCCAACATGGAACGACTTGGCGTCATTCGCCGTTCTGACAGCCCGTGGGCTTCACCACTCCACATGGTTCCGAAGCCAGACGGTGGGTGGCGTCCGTGTGGTGACTACCGCCGTCTTAATGATGCGACCACGCCCGATCGTTACCCGGTGCCCCACATTCAAGACTTTTCCGTACATTTGGCGGGGAAGTCCGTGTTCTCTAAAGTGGATCTGGTGCGGGGTTACCACCAAGTCCCGGTGCACCCGGCGGACATACCGAAGACGGCAGTGGTGACTCCTTTCGGGCTGTTCGAGTTCCTCAGGATGCCTTTTGGCCTGAAGAACGCAGCCCAGTCGTTCCAGCGGCTAATGGACTCGGCACTCAGGGACATGCCTTTCATCTTCGTCTACTTGGACGATGTCCTCGTCGCCAGCTCCTCGGAGGAGGAGCACCTGACACATCTCCGAGTTCTTTTTACACGGCTCGACCAGCACGGGCTGATCATTAACCCGGCTAAGTGTGTTTTTGGGGTGCCGTCCATAAAGTTCCTCGGGCATCTCATCACCAGTGAGGGGGCTGCCCCCCTCCCTTCGAAGGTGGACGCCGTTTCCACTTTTCCACGCCCACGCTCGGCCCGGGGGCTCCGTGAGTTCCTCGGTATGGTTACCTTCTACCATCGGTTCATTCGACAAGCGGCTCACGTAATGCGCCCGCTCTACGAGGCCCTTAAGGGTACGACCCCCAACCAGGACGTTGTCTGGACCGCGGAGGCGGACCAGGCCTTCGAGGACACAAAAGTTGCGTTGTGCCAGGCCACTATGTTGGTCCACCCGTCACCTGGGGCCCCGGTTGCCCTCACTACTGACGCGTCCGACTATGCCGTGGGTGCCGTGTTCGAGCAGTGGGTCGAGGGTACCTGGCAACCGCTCGCCTTTTTCAGCCGCCAGCTAGTCCCCAGGGAGCGTAAATACAGCACCTTTGACAGAGAGCTGCTCGCTGTTTGGTTGGCAATCCGCCACTTCCGCTTCGTCCTGGAGGGCCGTGAGTTTACGGTTTTTGTTGACCACAAGCCCCTTACATTCTCCATGTCTAAGGTGGCCGAGCCGTGGTCCGCCCGCCAGCAGCGCCAGCTGGCGTTCATCTCGGAGTATACCACGGACACACGACACATTGCCGGCAAATCCAATGTGGTTGCGGATTGTCTTTCCAGGGCGGTCGTTGGTGCGGTCCAGCTCGGACTAGACTACGCGCGTATGGGTGCAGACCAGGCCGCAGACCGCACCCTTCAGTCCCTCAAGGACTCGGACACTGGACTGCAGCTGGGAAAGGTCGCGGTCGGCGCTTCTGGGGTCGGGTTGTGGTGTGACCTCTCTACTGGCCAGCCCAGGCCTCTGGTCCCCGCCAGCTGGCAGCGGTCTGTTTTTGAGACTATACACGGCCTGTCCCATCCTGGCAGAAAGGCATCTGTTAGGCTTGTATCGCAAAAGTTCGTCTGGAGAGGACTCAAGAGGGATGTGCGGGCCTGGGTTGATTCTTGTGTGGCCTGTCAGCGTGCTAAGGTGCACCGCCATACCAAGGCCCCGTTAGAACCTTTTGTTGTTCCGGAGAGGAGGTTTGACCACGTTAACATCGACCTGGTGGGGCCGCTTCCCCCTTCACGTGGTTTCACTTACCTCCTCACGATGGTAGACAGGACGACGCGCTGGCCTGAGGCTGTTCCCCTTGCCTCTATCACGGCTGCCGATGTGGCTCGGGCGTTCATTGGCACGTGGGTTTCACGTTTCGGTACGCCCTCTGATCTATCCTCTGACCGGGGTGCGCAGTTTACCTCGGAGGTCTGGAACGCTGTGGCGGGGGGTTTGGGTGTCAAGTTGCACCGCACCACCGCATACCACCCCCAGGCTAACGGACTGTGTGAACGTTTCCACCGCTCTATGAAGGCTGCCCTTCGGGCCAGCCTGACAGACGGCAACTGGGTTGACAAACTGCCCTGGGTCATGCTTGGCCTTAGGACCGCCCCCAAGGAGGATCTGCAGTCCTCGTCCGCCGAGCTTGTTTACGGCCAGGCTTTGCGGGTGCCTGGGGATTTTATACCGGATGCTACGAGACCTTGGTCTGCTACCGAACAGCGGTCCTCCCTGCGGGAGGTGGCCACGGGGTTTGCGCCTGTTCCTACGTCGCAGCACTGCTCCCCTGAGTCCCGGATGCCCGCTGGCCTCCGCTCTGCGTCGTTTGTTTTCGTCCGCCACGACGCCCACCGTGGACCGCTGCGTCCCCCTTACGACGGCCCGTTTAAGGTTTTGCAGCATGGGGACAAGAGCCTGGTCGTGGACATTGGGGGTAGGCCTGAAACTATTTCCGTTGATAGGATCAAGCCTGCTCATGTGGACATTTCCAGACCGTTGGTGTTGGCCCAGGCCCCGCGCCGCGGACGCCCCCCAGTACTTTGTTCCCCTGGTCAGTCGGGAGTTCCTTCGACCGGGACGGTGCCGGCTGCGTCCCCCGCTTCCCTCCCCTCAGCCCCTGCCACTTGTACTCGGAGTGGTCGGGCCATCATTCCATTCCGGAGTGGGGATTTTGACTATGGTTGAATTCTGGGGGGGCTTGTGTGGTGGTTTACATAATTCACCCATGGAACTGTGGTTACTCTGGTGGGGTTCCGGGGGGAGAGGAAAAAGGGTTGCACAGTTTTTCCCTTGAAGAAAAATGTTTTTGGTTGTGTGAGGAGTTCTGTTACACTGGCTGTTTTATGGCATTAAAACGTGTACGTTTGTCACCGCTGTTTGACACACCGCCTCCGACTCCGCTCCTTACGCACCACAATAGAAGGGTTATAAAGTGCTAATAACGTTATAAAAAAAGAAAAATAGCAATAGCAACAATCATAGTAGTATTACAATCTACCAATATTCACCAATATACAGGAATCGTAAAGTATTTTCTCAGCTAGAAGGAGAGAAGTGTGTGTAGCTAAATGGAAAAGGATATGCTATAAAGTATAAGGTGTATCTTGTGGACTGTTGTGGACATATTCTAAAGTAGAAAGATAGTATCTGCATGAGAAAAAACACAGCAGTAAATACAGAACAGGCTGCACACAGTCTTCCAAAAGGCAATTTTATAAGAAATACTCCGATGCAGTGGCCTTTGTGAAACCTCAGAATGTTCAAGTCCAAGTAAGATTCAGTAAGAACAATCTATTTCTAAATTAGTAAGCAAGCATTTCAATAATTGTTTATAACAGGAGTCTCCAACCCTATTTTCTCAGGACAGAAGTGGCTCATTTTAGAGACAGGAACAATCATTTCCAGCACATATATACCAAGTTAATTTCTTGTTCCAATGGCCAATCAACATAAATGTATTCTTGTGTAGCCATAAATCACAACAGTAATGACCTTGGAGGACTTAAGAAAAACGTTGGATTTGTCAACACAGATCAGAAAATCAAACACAAGACCGTTTTATTAGAACGCATTTAGGCCCTGTCCACACGAAGTCAAGCTCAGGCCTAAACGCAAAAATACTTTATCAATCCAGTGTATCGTCCATACGAGGCCGGCGTTTTGGGGGGGTGTAAACGAACATTTTTGAAACTAGGTCCCAGAGTGGAAAGATTTCAAAACTCCGTATATGCCGCTCCGTGGTTACTGCCTCTCCGCAATGTATCTGAGACGCTTGCGTCATCGCCCCGCCTCTTGTTAAAGCACGCATGCGCCGCACTCAGAAAATAATGACAACAACAATGTAGCTTGTTGGTTTTGTAATCCAGTGCGACCCGAAGCAACAGTTCAACCTCATCGTCCGTCCATACTAATGTAGTACCAGCTCGCCCACTCGCCATGTTGTCTGTTTACAAAATTCCGCGCATGCCCACGGAAGTTTGGGCTTGATCCCGTCATTGCGTCACAGCGCCACCAACAGGTCTGGCATAGTTTCACAGCGTTTTCAGGCGTATTTACTACATTCATATGGACGCACACATTTACTGAGCTAACTCCGTGTTTACAGAAAAAGTTTCTGAAATTATAAGCGTTTTGTCTTCGTGTGGATATAGCCTTAATCTGTTGCATACTTGTCAGAATGACCACTGTGAGGTCTTTGGGCTGGGAGCGGAATGGCTGATTTTCACATTCCTGTTTGCAAAAAGCTGATCTTAAGATGTGACAGAGGCCAGAAACTGCAAGCCCGTGAGAAACCAATCCAAACCGGACATGGACCAGCGAGGAGCTTGGATAGATCGTGTTGATGTTCAATTGTTTGGAGTTCCCATGTTCCCATGTATCAACATACCTCCACACACATACTGAAATCCTTCTGATATCCTCTGTTTTGCTGGCTTTACTGGCCCGTACCTCTAACCACAGGCCTCTCCTGCTCCTCTCAGGAGGGTAATGGATGTGGCCAGTTGCTTTCACTATCAGCGCAGTTATCTGGGGCCTGAGTGCCTCGTGATGAATGTTTGGGAGCTGTGTGTGTCTCCACCGATCAATACAACACAAGAGCAGACGGGCTGACGTCTCCTCCAACGCTCCTCCATCTCCCCCACCTCCTCCATCTCTCCTCCATCTCCTCCACAATCCACCACCACTGTTTTTGTGGTCTCCTCCCTCACCCATTCGCCTAAACTGGGGCATTGATCTTTCGTCCTCGGCTCGTTTTGAATAAAAAGCCGGTTATAATCCTCCAGCAGAGCGTGCAGCCGCTCTGACAGACGCTGGAGCACATCACAAACATTATTCAAACTGATGGAAGGAGGTAATCTGAGAACCTCCTCCTCCTCCTCCTCCCAGACACACACTGTTCAAGACATCAGCAGAGCAAGCGAGAGTGAGAAGCCTCAGAGATGTAGGGATACGACTCATATTCTTATTTTTGGTCACGCTAGAATGTGAGATAATAGCTATAGTGATAAAACATGGTAAATGTGTAACGCGTGAGTGGTTAGCACGTTTCAGGACATTTATGGATGTTAGTCATTGACATCAAGACATCAGCAGAACAAATGAGAATGTTGAATAAGCTTCAGACAAGCAGGCAAAGAATTTGTCTTTTTTGGTTTTATTTTGAAGAATTCAGATATTAGTCATTGCTTTAGGGCGATACAAAAAATAAATGGAATTGAATTGAGCGGAATATCACTCTTGATTCTCTGTAAAAAAAATACTGGGTGTGAATCTCGGTGTGAACGGGCCTTTCTAAGTGGAGTTTGCATGTTTTCCCTGTGTTTGCCCAGGTTTCCTCCAGGTGCTCCAGTTTCTCCTACCACTAAAACCATGTAGATTAGGTCAAACCCTCCAGCTCTGGTCTTGAAGAGAGTCAAAATATGGAGATGGATCCCCTGTTACTACGGCAACAGAGGCCCTATGCTTCCACCTTGCAAACCCCTGGGAGTCACTATTTGACACTTTGGGCTGAGAGCTGATTGGCTGAGTGATTGTTGATGTCCCTTTTTCATCTTTTTGCCTCTGAATCTGATCCAAATCATGAAAGCTAGTGATAGAAGCAAAGAGAAAGTCAGGTACCCCAGCTTTAAATGAGTATCTAGTTCCATGCTAGTTTTAGGATAAGAAAACCTTTATTTGTCCCACAGCGGGGAAATGTCGATGTTGCAACACACATACACGTAGTAAGAGCGCACAAGGAGCACACAACATGTCAAATACAAGCAGCTGCATTACCTCACGCTAACTGCATTATTTCTGCATTGATTCATTTCTGATTTACACTTTTTAAGTACGGGCAAATCCGAGAAACGGTTTTCTATGGAATGGCAACCCAGCTTTAAATGCATATTCAATCCAATCAAATTCTCCTTATTTACAGAAGTTTGACAAGTCATACAAACCTTAGACTTTAGTACGTGTAAGTGCTTTGTAAAAGGGACCTCCCAGGAAGCAGCATTAGCATATAGCCCGAGCCCCATTACAATAAATGTTAAACAAATGGGACAATGTCTACCTTTCT